AATTGCTGACTATAGCTATATTAAGGAAAAGTACCGTGTGATTAAATAAATGCTTACTAATGTTTTATTGCCTTGTAAAAAGGGATATAACAGCACGAAAGACGTGTTCCAGGTGAGCGTTGCCATATCTCGCCTCCAATGCCTCAAGGAGCTACTCGTAGGTCACTTTCTTGCCGAGTTTGTTTGTCGCGGATGGGTGAGTGCAGCTGGCCTTTTATTCCAGCCGTTCGCCTCCATGACAGCCTCGAACTGGATTTTGTAAACTAACCAGGAAGAAGTCCCGGCAAACGGCGGTACTTTGAACCCACGTAGCAAAGGTGTTGTAGCTACTACGGGAGCTGTAGTTCCATCCCCCAGTTTGAGGTCGTCCAGCGTTTTCTTCACATCAGCCATCACGTTAGCAACCCAATTGTTCACTTGGTCGATTTGGGTTCTAGCTTCCTTGATTTGGGTTTCAGCTTCCGACAAGCGGTTGTCATGTTGAGCAACCCTATCCTTCACCTTCCTTATCTCTTTCCCAAAGGTAGCGTGAAGGTCCTTCATGAGGAGCATCTGCTCTTCCGACTGACGAAGCTGTTCCTCCTGCTGCTCTTTCAACAGACGGGCCTGTTCCTCTCGTCCGCGCTGCAGCTGCTCTTCCAATCGACGGGCCTGCTCCTGCAGTATCACCATCAGAGCACCTAAGTCGGGTGCTGCAAATGCAGGAGCTACTGACGGACCGGCCTCCGTTGCCGGCGGCTGGCCCTCCGACGTCTGCGGTGTTGCACCACCAAATCGTCTCTGGTCTGTCTCATGATGGCGTTGACTGCGGGTACGGACACCCTCCGTTTCCTCCTTAGGTAAAATCGGCATGATTTTATCCCACTTCTAACACCAATTGTTAGGAGCTTGAGGTTCGTGACAATAAAAACTGCCGATTGAATTACTAAAATTTACACTTTTATTACCGAACACCAATTAAAACCTAAAAGACTCTAATAATTAGTCACACTGATTCACTTTATTTCGCTCCGAAGCTTCGCTTGTCTCGCCAAATTCAATACTTCCCCGATCGCGGCTTGCAGCGGATTTAAATACACCTTTTCCACCGAAACATCCAGAATATTCCAGCAAATACGGGTAAGGCATCGAAAGTTCGAGTGTCGGCTTCTAGAAGCTTAGTTCTTCGTTTCGACACTAGATGGCGCTGTCGGTTGAAAGATTAGTGATGTCATTTTCTGGAAAGTTCCCCCCGCTCTCGTCCCTGACAGAACATGACGTCAACTTAGGCGCGCAACACTGCCCCATCCTAAGACATGCTCGTCCCGAGCATTATCGGCCCCATAATAACGCGCCAAGCGATCCACATGGACGATCTTAGGAGTCCCTCTTGCGCCTTTCTGTATCCGGTAGGTTACATCGTTGATCCTGGTTACAATCCGGTACGGGCCGTCCCATTTAGCTTGAACCTTAGGAGATTTCCCTTTGCTGCGGACTGGATTGTGCAACCACACTAGTGAACCTTCGTCGAACCCTTTATTATTCATTTTGCGGTCATACCGGGTTTTCATCTTCTCAGACAATTGGTGGCCCGATTATCTGACGTGCTCATGTCATTCATTTTATTCCGCAAGTCATTTGCATAATCGGCAAACCTCTGCACAAGCTCACCGAGGAGGAGCGACATTTCTGCTGGGATGAATGTTGCGATATCGCATTCCAGGAGCACAAGGACCGTCTGTGCAAAACGTTTATTTTGGGGTACCCTGATACAGGCAAGGAATTTATAGTTGACACAGACGCAAGTGATACAGGACTTGGCGGTGTGTTGTCTCAACGGAACGGTGATCGAGAGGTTGTGATAGCGTACTTCAGCAAGTTGTTGTCAAAACCGGAAAAGAACTATTGTGTCACAAGAAGCGAATTGCTAGCTGTGGTAAAGTTCAAGCTTAAGTTTCAGCAAATATCTCCTGGGGCTTAAATTTCACTTACGAACTGGCCATGCTGCACTAAAATGGCTATTGCAGTTCAAAAATCCAGAAATACAAGTTGCGAGGTGGATTGAACTACTGCAGGAATACGACTTTATAATCGAACATCGAATCGGGAAATCTCATGGCAACGCGGATGCATTGTTAAAAAGATCTTGTCTTGAAGATTGCAAACATTGTACTAGATAAGAGGGTAAGGAAGTAGTATACGTGAGGATGCTCAGGACAGACCTCCTCAGCAACGAGTGGAAGGAAAGCTTACAACATGCACCGCAGGAAGATCCGGACATCAAGCCTATTCTGGAATGGATGAAGGCCAGTGCTCCCAAGCCCAAGTTGAGTGACATCTCAGCGATGAGTTCGACCACTAAAAGCTATTGGGCGCCATGGGACAGCTTGCTGCTTCAGGATGGAGTTCTATGCCGTAAATGGGAAATGGTCAGGGAGACAGCTGTCATTTGCAAATGGTTGTCCCTAAAGCTAAAGTACCGGATATTCTACAGCTGTACCATAATGATTGTCAGGCCATCTAGGTCCAGGGAGAGGTACTTAGCAAAAGTTGTGACAATCGGAACGAGATTGGGACAAGCACATACAACCGTTTTTGTTGTCATATCGAAGCGCTGTTCACGAAAGTAAAGTATCAGTGACACCAGCTTTCGCAAACTTTGGAAGAGAATTACGGCTACCTGCAGACCTAATCACCGGTATACCACCTGATGCCCCACGCATTATAACCGATTATGCCAACGACTTGCGGAACAAAATGAATGACATTTATGAGCACGTCAGACAATCGGGCCAGCAAATATCCTAAAAGATGAAAACCCGGTATGACCGCAAAATCGAACAACAAAGTGTTCGACGAAGGTTCATTAGTGTGGTTGCACAATCCAACCGCAGCAAAGGGAAATCTCCTAATCTTCAAACTAAATGGGACGGCCCGCACTAGATTGTGATTAGATTGGTATTATGCGGGGAAAATTCGGGGATTTCGAAATCTTCGTCGACATTCTTCTTCGACAACTCCAAACATTTTAATATTTTTGAAGTGGAAACTTCTTTAGCATCGTTACGAATGTAATGAAAAAGCGAGACTGAAAAAAGGCAAACGTATACATCTATAGGCTGTAGCCTACGTGATGATGAGATAGAATATTGTTTAGTAAGCGACATAAGCCTAATGCCAGGGTGCGGACCGCAAACTCCAAAGGTTGTGAGTTCGAATCAACCATTCGATTATTTTTAAACTTACCAATAGATGTTGAGAGCTGCTAAACGCTGTTACATTCATGAGCAAGTGCTTTATTCATCTTCAGATGTTATATAGAATTTTATCAATACTCTTGGATATGGAAAAACACACCTTGCCCCTAATAGCGTCTCTTTTACTCCCGGCGATTACAATAGTCATTTTCGTCTGCTCAAACTACGTCTAATAGTTCTAGAACATATGCTGTTTCATCCATTAAGTCTATGCCTCCTTATTTTTATGACTCCTATGACTACTTTTTCTCCTGTTAATAAAGACAAGATACGCAAAACACTTCTATTTATCAAATCTAAAGTTATTGGTTGTAATGGTGTGAGTAGAACAATGATTATATAATATGTAATTCATTCTGTTTTACCCATCTTAACTCACATCATTAACTTTGCATTGATGTACGGTTTTCCAACACTCTGATGTAAAGACTTTGTTATTCCCCTACACAAAAATCAACCAAGTGCCGCCTTACTTCTCATTCTAGATCAATTTCTATCCTACCATTTTATCTAAACTTTTAGAAGCTGTTGCTCATAAACAAAATTTTAGTTTTGTTTTCAAAAACAAGATTCTTTCATTATATCAGACTGGATTTAGTCCTGGGCATACTACAACCGCCCTTCTCAAGGTTGCTTAAGATATTCGAGCTGGTATGAAAAATCCTAAATGAACAGTTCTTATCTTAATAGATTTTTCTAACTCCTTTAATACTGTCGACCACTCTGTCTTGCTAGCTGTACTCTTCTACTTGAATAACAAAAACAGACCGTGCGTTCTGTCCATGATGTTTCCATTTGGAGTGATGTACTAACCGGTGTCTGTCAAAGCGGTACTCTCTCTCCTCTTCTGTTTTCAATTTTTATCAATATTATCACACTAAATCTCAAGTGCTCTTATCATCTCTTATCATCATCATATGTCGATTATCTACAACTATATGTACAAGCGACACCATTCAATATTAATAATTCGATAGCGATACTAAACGAAGATTTACATGATATATATTCATGTTTATTTGAACTTCGTAAACATTTTTTATTTTTATGCATAAAATTTTATTAAATAAATAAATAACAGCACCGCTATCTAGTATTTTTTAAAATAGTGTTTCCTATTATTACGCCTTCTCTTTGTGCGGTGCTTTAAAGATAGTTAATATACATTTTAATGTGTTATATATGTTAATAAACAGTAAAAAATTAACAAATTCACTAAATAAATAAAATTAACCATATTGAATAAAATTATCATATCCAACTCATTCATAACAATCAACGATTCATAGCTTACTGATTAATATAAAATTATTAGAGTTTATACCATCAATCATATTTAAATACTTGTTTCATTGTTTAAAATAATATTGAGAGGAATTTGTGGGGAATCAGCGTTTTTTCATTGTTGACCCCAAATTTTGGGAATTTTATTTGAATTTTTTGGGAATTACATACATTGGCATTGGCAGCCCTACTTGTCACTTGATATCTGTTGATATTTTACGAAAAAAAAATTAAAAAAAAAAAAACAAAAACACAATGAATTTCATTTTTCTGCGTTGATGCTATTTTCTAACTTCTATAGTCTGTCGGTTTAAAAGTTAATTGTTACGGGTCGATGAATTTACTGAAACGAATATCTAATTTAATTACGTTCCTAGGTTACTAAATACTCTGTAATTGTAAATAGTCACGTGTGATAATATTTTCAGCGGTTGCTTTCTCGGCATAACATTGTTACATATTATACACTTTTCTATCAAAATGCTAGTATCACTATGTAAGTATTTTCATTTTAATTTGTATTGGCAGGTCTCTATCAAATTTTGGCCTAAATTTTTACACAAGTTATATATATGGTCTCAGATGAAGTAAAAAATAAGTAAGGTCTATACCAATGATAATTTCTGAACAAATTATTATTATTATACATTGCACTAAAGTTTCTCTTTAAATTTTATATTTTAAATTGTTTCATATAATGAACTTCATATAGTCATTACAGCTCATCAAAAATACACTGCTAAATCCCTCTTCATATATTGACTCAAATTTTGATGTCTGACATAAGCATGTCGTATCTGAGATTGACCCCTAAGATACCGTGGACATGTTGACAGGTCCAAGTTTTGTGACCGCTAAGTAAGAGGACATGTATACATGTCCGCATTACGTGCTGCTATTTTCGTCATTAATTGATATAAAAATACAGTGTATTTTCGATTGAACACTATTTCATTCGATTCTGAACGAACTAAAGAATATTCTGGAGCATTATATTCACTAGGTTACATAGACATCATCAAATATAACAGCCATTCGCTTTTGCGTGCCGGTGCAGTTGGTTGCGTAATCATTGAAGTTTTGTGATTGTGATTTTAGTTGGATTTTCTTTCATAAAAACTGTAAGTAATGTTATTTATCTTTACTACGTAATGTTTTTGAATGATTTAAGTTACAACAACCGTAACTTTTTATGTTTCAATTGATAAAAAGTAGAAATAAAAAACCTCTACGCGAACAATTCGTAACGGTCAAGATTTCTAATAAGATTCTAATAGTATATTTCTTATTGGAATACCATAGTAAATACTTTTACTAGTAATTGCTAAATGTTATATCTATATGATTGTATAAGAAAAATAAAGGAAGACGATATAAAATATATACACAAAAAGGTTTTGAAAATGAGACTAGTAAGCGCGCGCAAACTGTCTGTTGTTGAATTTTTAGCAAGTGAAAAAGTAGAATTATTATAATTATTAAATGCATAATTTCGGTTCATTTAGGAAGAATATGTTGTATTGATTGTAAGGACATAAAAATAAAATAAAAACTTATGATATTTCATTCATAAAATAAAATTTATCGTCAGTAAGTACACTTTATCAAGATCCCTTAGAAACAAAGAGCTGTACAAAATAAAATAAACATTTATATGTTATGGTTATTGTTTCTACTTATCGAAAATCTTATCGGCTTTAAATTACTGTAACTAAAACCTCTTTAAACATAAATGAAAGGTCGTGAGAAACATAAATATTTAAAACAAGTGCCACCAGCTCAGCTGAGGTGATGACGGCGCAGTGAGTGATAGGTTAATCGAAGAATCAATTACTTGTGGCAGAAAGATTAATTTTTTTGTCGATATATAGCACTAAATCGATCCAGTGAATTGATATTTCACCCAAGAAAATTGAGATCAAATCTTTTTCTGATTTCATAAGAACTATAAAATTAGTTGAATGTACCCAAACTCGTAAAGAACGACAGTTTTTCTATTCAAAAACTAGCAAATCAAATGAAATCTGTACTTTGTATGAATCTGAAAGCAAATCGAAAAGAGATTGATTTTTGACAAATCAATCTTTTACACCTCGATTTTTCTGTGAATCGAGTCATCAGATTTCGATTCAAATAGATTTAAAAATCAATCTTTTATGTTAAGAATCGACATCCCTAGTCTGACTAAGTTGCTAGCTAGGTATTTTGTCAACCAAAGTTTTTTATTGTTTTGAGTTGGTATCAAAAAAGTGCTGCTATCACTCCCCTGGATTCAATTCATTCTGTCATCTCTTATTAACCCATGGGATAATATGGGGTGGTGAGTTCTCTTACCCCCCCCCCCTAAAACCTGGCACATCTTGTAATATATAATAAACCAAACATGAATATTAATAAACCATAGTGTTTTTATTTAAAAAATAAACACTAACATACCTAATTTAAAAAACAAGCCTTCTGGGCTATCATAGATTACTGAATATATACTAGAGATGGGCTATACCAGTGTAAAGACTGGAGGCATATTACTTTTTTATATGACAGGAATACAGCCTGTTACAAAGGTTTAAGAAATTTCTAGAGGAGTCGTCACACGCATGGGCCAGAATTATAGAAAAAATGGGTTCATTTTGGCTGTTAATACACTTTTTTTTTTTTATATATATATATATATATATATACATTGGTGTGGTAAATTATTGCAAAATTACAGATCGTAAGAACTCGTTGATCCTGCCCCGACTCACAGCAGCCTTCAGTTCTGCTGTCAAAGACCCACATATAAAACCCAAAACAGCAATTGTTATGCTGAATATGGGTGGACCGGAGACAACAGATCAGGCAAGTTCAATAACTTCTAGATTTTAAAGTTTCTCGATTTCCTCATCATTCAACTGTAAATAGTGTTTTTTTTTAATAGGATAGGGTGACAAACAAGCACACAGTCCACCTGATGGTAAGTGGTTGCTGTGGCTCATAGACATCTTCATCTATCCTCGATTATGAATCAAAATGCAGATGTGTTATCACCCATGAGGACTAAAATGAAATGCCTCGTTTCCAGTAAAAAGGGTTGCCAGTTTTCTACACTCACCATATGAAACACAGCAGCATTAAGCTACTATTTTACGCTGGTATTCTGAGAGTAGTGTGATTCGGGAATATATTCGTAGTAGAAATTTATGTTAATTGATATTTTTGGCAAGCATTTGGCATTAGCCATCTCAGCCTTATTCTAATAAGTAAGAGTTGCGGATGGGACAGGATCTTTCTTGCATTTTATAAAGTAACCCTTAAACAAGAATTGCCTATGTGGTGGTGGCATAAGAAAGTCCGTTCTAAAAGTCGAAACAAACTGTTAAGATGCCCATAGCATCAACTTTTTTCTCTTTTTCTTTTGGCAAGCTGCCTGCGAAGAGTAATAACTGTGGCAAAGCTTCGTTAGCATTAACACTTTATTCACTGTCTATAGACCAGAACATGTATTTATCATCAGGTGGACTGTTGACCGATGAGCACTGTTCCTTAGTGGCAGAAGTACGCAAGAGGGGTGGTAGCCCTCACTCCTCAGCCAAAAAGTAACTTTAAGAAAGATTAAGAGGATATCACCTCAACATCACCTTTTTTCACTTTTCCAGGTGGCCGGTTATCTCCTCCGTATTATGACAGACAGAGATATGATCCAGTTGCCGGTGCAGAGCAGACTCGGCCCTTGGATCGCTAGTAGGAGAACTGCAGAGGTCATCAAAAAATATACGGAGATTGGGGGAGGTTCTCCAATACTCAAGTGGACAAATACTCAGGGTTGGTATATTTCTAAATCCCTTTCGCTACCAGAAGAACCCTGTGAGCTTTTTATTCTGCAGAAAGTATCTTAATATCCTCATTTCTAAATTACAAAACCATAGGTATCCAGAGGAGCAAGAGAGTGAGCAACATTCCCAACTAGTTTGGCCTAATCATAGCAAAGTTTTGGCAGAATAGTCCAGTGCTTGACATTTGGATGGCCTAGCCATCATTGAGAAGATTTTGCATTAATGATTTCTTAAATTTATGCGAACACTACACATTGAATAAAACTATATTTACGGATTTTATCGCTTATAATCAACTATTTTAAATTATTTTTTAATCCCCGACGTTTCGGGTGCTTTACAGCACCCATGGTGCTGTAAAGTCCAGTCACCAGTCCCCCCCGTGACTATGGGTGCCGTAAAGCCCCCGAAACGTCGGGAATTAAAAAATAAGTTAAATAGTTGATTATACGCGAAAAATCCGTAAATATAGTTTTATTCAAGATTTTTTAGGTATTGTAGAAGCCATGTATCTTACACTGCAAATTGGTCTTTATGTTGCCGGACTGTGTACATTCAGATCCATTCACTACAGCCTATAAAAGTCCACTGTTGAACATAGGCCTCCCCCATAGATTCCCTCATGTGGGGTTATATATAATAAGGGTGACAAACAGCACACAGTCCACCTGATGGTAAGTAGGTGCTGTGGCCCATAGATATCTACATTTATCATTGATTAAGAATCGAAACACAGATGCGTTGTCACCCCTCTGAGGACTAAGATGGATTACCTCGTTTTCAGTAAAAAAAAGTACTCCGGATCTCTACACTCACGATACGAAACACAGCAGCATTAAGCTGTTAGTTTACGCTGGTATTCTGCGAGAGTGTGTTGCTTCCCCGATCAAGCCGACCCATTTCTGCTACAACCGTAATGATCAAAATTATATGTGGTAGAGTCAGCAGCTGCAGCTAGCACTACCATGTATAATTTTGAGTTGCAATCACCAAGAAACTTCTGCCCATCACTGCCAGTAGTGTGGCCGTGGTAGGAAAAGGGGAGATCTCCCGCCAGGCAAGGTGTTGTGCCCGGGGAGCGGCCAACGCTCCGTGTGTTAGTTCGGAGATGTTCTATATATACTGTTTATGATTCGGAATGTTGATAGCGTGATTTAGGCTTCGGTGTGTTTCGCTTGCGGCGCGACGACAGCGCCGCTACAGTAGCATATGTTTTTTGTTAATATTCCCTAAGTGGACTTAAAATCGTGTGATTCTTGATAGTAGCCAAACGACGAATTCAAACCTGTTACCTTTTTGTCGCTTCAACGTATCTCAGCTCAAATACCTAAGATCTTTTTTTATCCTTATCAGTCTCATTTCAATCTACTGCTGGAGCAAAACCTGTTCATAAAAATGCTACTTCTTATCTTGCTTATATTACAAATAAATGATTGTGAAAGTATTGTTCAAACAGTAAGGTATTTCAACATTTTATCCTTATGCCTCCATTCCAGGTAGGCTGCTGACGAAAGCTCTAGACCAGATGCTGCCAGAATCGGCGCCTCATAAGCACTATGTGGCATTTAGATATGTGCCACCTTATACGGAGGACGCTTTTGAGCAGTTGGAGAAGTAAGGATATTGAATATGATTTCTTCATTAATTCTTCCCTCAATGATAAAACAAAACAAAGCTCTTACCCCATTTTGTCCTGTTGGTGTTAGTAGAGTCAACTTAAGAATTTCATAATGATATCATCATCATCACCATTACATCCCTTCACAATTACACTGCTGAACATAGGCCTCCCCCAAAAAAATGCCACAAAGCACGGTCCTGAGCCACCTGCATCTATCGACTTTCTGCATGTCTTACCAGGTCGTCACTCCATCTAGTGGGGGGTCGCCCTACATTTCGCCTACCAGTACGAGGCTGCCACTCGAGAACCTTTTTTCCATCGGTTGTCGGTTCTTCGAGCTATATAGCTGGCCCATTGCCACTTCAGCTTACTAATCCGTTGGGCTCTGTCTGTCATTAGTTCTACTACGGATTCCCTCATTTCTTAGTTTATCACATAGTGAAACCCCGAACATAACCCTCTCCACAGCTCGCTGAGCGACCTTCAGCGTCCTTATATGGCCGGCACTGAAGGACTATGTCTCAGTTCAGATAGTATAGTCTCGTTTTCAGGTTTTGAGATATAACTGACGAAAAGATGTGTCGTAATGTCCCAGTCGAGTTGAATCCGTCAATTGACCTCTCGGCTGAAGTTGGACTTACCTAGTCGGACTATTTATTACAGATATACATACTCATCAACAACTTAAAGCTTAGTGCTCCCAACAACTACCGGCATAGATTTGACATGGACATTACACATGGATCCATTAGGAGACATTATTCAGGTCACAGAGCATAGTGCTTAGGTCCTCCAGCGATTCTGCCATGAAGACTATATAGAGGGTGAGTGACGTACTCGTCATTCACGTTAATACCGTAACCTTTCTAGTCCAATAGCTTGAAAACATCTTCCAATGCAGCAGTAAAGAGTTTCGGGGATGTAACGTCACCCTGTCTTACACTACTCTGCAGTTGGATAGGTTTCGTACTCTGGTTCTGTACTCGGATAGCCATCGTAGCCCTATTGTACAAACATTTCAGCACTTCGATATACCGACAGTCAACTTAGTACCGCTAAAGGAACTGTAGCACCGCCCAAATTTCTACGTAATCGAAGGGTTTCTCATAGTCTACATACGCCGGGCAAGGTAGCAGATTGTACTCTTCAGTCTTGTGTACAATTTTCCGAAGGGTGTATATGCTGTCTATGGTACTAAAGCCTTTTCGGAAACCGGCTCGTTCGGGAGGCTGAAAGTCGTCGAGTCTGCGTGCGAGACGATTCGTAATAATTCTATATATAGACTAGATCTATGCCTGACTCAGAAGGGAAATCGGTCTGTAGTTCTTCAAGAGAGCGTTGTCACCTTTATTGAATAACAAGACCACCGGACTTTTGCTCCACGCCTCCGGAGTAGCGCCACCATGGAAGACGGAATTAAAGAGCTTTTGAAAGACTACAAGTACCGGTCTTCCACCCGCTTTTCGAAGCTCCGCTGTAATTCCATCCTCGCCCGGGGACTAGCCGTTTTTAAGGTGCTGGAGCCACTCTAATCTCCTTCAGACTGACGTCCGGAATATCATCGGAATAGTGTCGGATAACACTTGCTCTTGGATCGTTACTCACACTTGCGTGTGGCCCTAATGATGATGTGTACAGCTGCCCATAGAACCTCTCAAACTCACTCAAAATCTCAAATGTCCCGGAAACAATGCTTCCACACTCAGTCTTCAGCTTTGACAGTTGGCTCTTTCTGGTAGACAGATTTCTGGCAAAGACTTTGAAGCCCTGGTTCCGCTTAATTGCTTCTTCAATATGAATTGGAGTCCACTGTATTGCATTTCTAGGCACTGAAAATGGTTTTGTAAATTGAGCTGAAAGTATTATGAACCCTGGACGCTATTCCACGAGGGGGACGGAGTGTTGACTTCTTTAGATGGGACCTTTCCAACTTAACATATAGGTTCAGTGTGCCTCTAACCATTCGGTGATCCCTGCCAGTTTTCACCCTCGCGATCACTGAGACATCACTGAACAGTTGACGTCTGAGAATGTGCCGAGGTTAGCGTGTTAACCTGTATGACCTGCAGCGAATACCGTTTGGTGATTCTGAGTATCAGGTACGCAACCCTCATCGACACACTCCCAATCTATACAAGTTGTTGACGAGAGATTTGTGAACGATAAATCCGACACTTCCTTGGTCGCCCTAACCGTGTTAGAACAAGTTGCCGGATTCGACGATTACCATGTCCTCCCCCTCTCTCTTCGGACCTCGGATAATGCTATAATATGCCAGCGCAACTTGTCTACCTCTTCTTCCAACTTCAGTATCTTCTCGTCAGTCTTCAGGGTGCGTGCGTTATATGTTGCCAGGTTGAGTCGTCTTAGGTGGCAACCGAACCTCCACTGGAGATTCTTAGCACCCGCACCGGCCGTTACCATGGTCGCCACCGTAGCCAGGCATAGCGGGGCCGTCAGGGACTGGGGCCGTTTGTTTGTGTCATTGCTCATGGAGGGGATGTTTGCCATAGTTGCCACGCTTGGCGAGCGGGTTGGTAACCACAGCTTTTTATTGTATAATTGTTGTTATTAGGAAGATGCTGCTGTCCATCTCCTGCCTGTCTCTCTCTACACGGGATGCTTAATAGATATCAGTGTAAAAGTTTTAATAGAAAAGAGTGACCAACGAGCAAATAGTCCACCTGATTGTTAGTGGATGCTATGGCCCATAGACACCTACATCTATCCTCAAATCAAAATGCAGCTGTGTTTTTACACTTGATGATTAAGAGCATATCAACAACCCCTTCATTTCTTATATTTACACGAACAATACACACTGATTAAAACCCACTTTTACGTATTTTATCGCATTTAATTTTAATTGATTTTTAATTCCCGACGCGACGTTTCGGGCGCTTTCCAGCATCCATGGTCACGGGGGACTGAGGTGACTGATGTCCCGAAGTCAATGTTAACCTGGAGTACCTTTTTTTTTTTTTATAGGATAGGGTGACAAACGAGCACACAGTCCACCTGATGGTAAGTGATTGCTGTGGCCCATAGACATCTACATCTATCCTCAATTACGAATCAAAATGCAGATGCGTTGTCATCCGTGAGGACTAAGATGGAATGCCTCGTTTCCAGTAAAAAGGGTCTCACCTTCAGCTTTTTAATTATTATTTAGGGTCCGATGCAGAACTAAACGTCGGGAATTAAAAATCAATTAAAATTAAACGCTATAAAATCCGTAAAAGTAGTTTCAATCGCCCGTTCGTTGTCGACGTACACATTCGAACCGAACAGTTTGCTTTCATAACTTTGCAAAGTAGTGCTAGTAATAATTTGCCATTATCTGCCTTTCCATCCGATTACAATGTAGGTGTATTCCAGCCAAGAGTGAACAGGCAGTTTTTTACGTGGTAGAGCCATGTTGCAGCTATATTAGTTATAGCATGAATGGGTCGGCTCGACCGGGGTAGGACCACGCTCTCACAGAATACTAACGTAAAATAGCAGATAAATGCTGTCGTGTTTCGTATGGTGAGTGTAGAAAACCGGAGACCCTTTTTTACTGGAAACGAGACATTCCATCTTAGTTCTCAGGGGTGACGACGCATCTGCATTTTGATTCTTATTTGTGGATATATATGATAGGTAGATGTCTATGGGTAACAGCTTCCACTTACCATGAGGTAGACTATGAGCACGTTTATCACCCTTATTCTATAAAAAGGCTCTTTTTAAGCTAATCAGTGCACTTGACCATCCTTTATGAAGATTTACCTTATATGAAGATTTTTTACTTAATAGTTAAAATTAAAATGTAGTGTTTTAAAAACGACCCTTTCACTAATAAATACAGAGAAAAACATACTGATTTTTATTTATATATATACAATATGTAACGTAATTAACGCACACCCTCAGACACCCCAATTAGTATATTATGTTATAATCATAATACATACACTGATTTTTAGTTAAATATTTTTATGCACTGATTATTTATCAAATTAGTTATACTAATTCCGGAAGAATGTTGTGGCCACAGTACAAATCCACAAACGCGAAGACTTTAACGTGCTTGAAATAAAGTTCATTTTTCTTTATTTTTATTGAATGACAGAATTAGTAATACACTCGGCGTCAAAAAAATCGCACATGCGAAAAAAAGAATTTAAATACTATTTTAACACAACAGGCCAATGGCAATGTTGTGGTTTGAGGGTATCATTCGAAAGGTAATTTCATTAGCTTTAGAAATTTTAATTGAATTTTACTTTTATAACGAGACGAAAAAGAAATTAAAGAAAAAGATAGGGTATGTACAAATTTGTAAATTAATAATTTAAAAAAAACTTAATAAATACAAAAAAAGTTCTTAAACCCTAGTGTTACCCCCCCCCCTTGCCTTGATAACGGCTTCCATGCGATCTTTCATGGACCTTACAAGGGTCGCAACAGCCTCTTGGGGTATTTGTTCCCACTCTTCAAATACCGCATCTTGGAGCTCTTGAAGAGTGGTTGGATATCGAGCTCGCACGCGCCGATTTAGGTCAATGCATAACAGGGATATCGACCTCCTGTAAATAATCCCGTACAATAGCCGCGGTGTGGCAACGAGCATTATCATGCATTAACATGAATCCATCACCGACATAACCAGCATACGGGACCACATGTTCCTCCAGGATTTCAGTAATGTACCGACCAGCATTTAATGACCTTTGTCCACGGCCACCCCGAGTCCGGGAAACGCACACAAGTTCCGTTTTCCCGTCGACGGAAATGCCGCCCCAAAACATACACGAGCCACCCCCGTATTCGACGCATTCTTCGAAGCAGGGTTGTGTGAACCTCTCCCCCCTGTCTTCTATAGACCCTTCTACGTCTGTCATTGCAGAAGAGACAGACCCTCGCCTCATCAGAGAAGAGTACGGTCCGCCACTGTTCTAGAGTCCACTCGCAATGATTGCGAGCAAACTCTAGGCGATCTCTGCGATGCTGTGCAGTAAGTTTTGGACCTTTAGCAGGTCTATGGGCTGTTAAACTCTTATCGTGTAACCTTCTTCTTATCGTAGAAACACTCACAGATGTTCTCCGAGTTGATCGAAGCTGTTGTTGCAACTCAACAGCATTTGTAAAACGGTTTCGTAAAGATGTCGTAACGATGAAACGGTCATCTCTTTCTGATGTGCACCGTTTTATTCCAGATCCCGGTTTTCTTACATAACCACCAGTCTGCTGAAAACGTTGGAACACCCGTCGAACTGAAAAACGGGACAGGTTCAACTGTCGAGCAACGTCACACTGCCGCATCCCCGACTGCAATAGGGCAATCACTTGAGCGGCTTCTTCAGAGCTGGTGTCCATCTTTACTTGTTCTTACTTGGGTTACTTGTTCACGTGTGTTCACTGCAAAGTCTAAATTACGACTGACCCATATTTCATCCAGATCGACCCTTTTATACCCTTTTTAGGTGGTGTAACTAGCGTCCTTACTAACGAACATTTGACAGTTTATTTTTGACGCTCTATAATGATAAAGAATGCAGAAGTGAATGGCAGAGTCGGAAAGGGACGTCCTAGGAGAAAATTTATCGACCAAATTGGCGATTTATTGACAACGGGCCAAATTAGGAGTACCCTTAACCGACGTGCATGTATGCGTAGGTGTATGGATGTGAAGGAGGCAAGAGAGGTGTGTCAGGATCGTGCCAAATGGAAGTCTGTAGTCTCTGCCTACCCGTCTGGGTGACAGGCGTGAGTGTTTATGTTATGTATGTTATAATGATAAATGTTTTAATGATTTCATGAATTTTTTATTAATAATGTAAAACTATTCAAATATCCATTTCAAACATACCAATATTTATATAAATATAATTCGTTTCTAGCCATTACAGCCATTTTTCGCGCAAACTCAGAGAGGTGCGATTTTTGTGACGCTGAGTGTAATACAAATAAAACTGCACTATTAAAAGTCTTATTGCCTTAAGTTAAGGTCCATTTCAGTTTGTTTCGACTGTACGCATTTAATGTGACTGTAATTTACGTAGTTTTAATTATTTTTGGGAGAATAAAATACCTATATTAAAAATGATAGGAATCGATTCAGTAAACGATTCTGAACAAACTACTTTCTCAAAGTGCGTGAATTATGTTACGTGTTGTGTGTGTATATATATATTATATATATAAAGGTTAATGTTGCTTATTGCAGGGACGGTGTAGAAAGAGCTGTGATATTCTCCCAGTATCCGCAATACAGTTGTGCCACTACTGGCTCAAGTTTGAATGCCATTGCAGATTTTTATAGAAATACGTAAGTACTATAACGCTGATCACTTTTAAACATTTTTAATCTTAAAATATGTTTTGGTTAAATATTTTAGTAGTCCGCATATCTTCATAATCCGCATAACTTGATAGTTGGTCGAGAAATTTGAAATACCACATCAATTGCTTTTAAAATTGTAAAGGCTAACTACATACATACAATTGTCCATTTAGTTGAGTCATGCCTTGTGAAGATTTAATGACGATTAAACTGTTTTGTATTGTTAATTATGTAACATAATACATGATTGTGAAGTGTTCTTTATTTTTTTAATGTCCTGCTAGTTTTCTGGCCGATTCTTTCCAGGATGGAGGTATTTTCCGACCCACTGGTAAATCTATATCTCTATGTATAAAAATCGATTGAAAACAAAAACGGCTCGACCGATTTTGATGGAATTTATCAATTGTGTCCGACAGTCTCACTTAAACTCCTAAAAATTTCGTCCGACTTTGTAGGAATTTATTGTATATGTTTAACTGGATCCCTGGATGCTTTAAATCCACAATTGAGCCCCGATAGGTGGCGCTGTTGTCGAGATCCAGAAATCACTCGTGCGAAACCGGGGCGGATTGCTAGTTAAACATAAATATGAGTTCCAATAAGTATTATTTATAATAAATATTGAATAAAAAAAACAACTATTTCAATTTTTGTTTGATTGATGGTTGTACGCATACAGTTGGTCCAGTTATCTATTTACTCATTTTCTCTGTCGGTCAGTTGTGTTTGTACTATCTACTTAATTATATTTAATAAATACAACATCCATTATAATTAGCTATCGATGTGCTTTATATAATACATAATAAACAAAGCTAGTGTTTGCCTAGAGGTTTTTAACCGAAATTTTTTATTTAGATTTGTATATTAATCAAGCTCTTTATAACTTTCAACTGCACATTAATATATGAAATACAGATGTCTCATGTGTACCATACAGTCGACTCTCGTTAATTCAAACATGCTATAATTCGAACCTCTCTATAATACAAAGTTATCACGAGTTCCCTACAAAATCTTTTTATATTTCGAACGAAATAATCATTGCTACGTGACAAAACGATTCCAATTCATTGGCGTCAAACATTCGACAATTCAAAGTTGCAGAGAGAAAGAGACAAAAAGATTGTAATTTGTAAGTACATTTTGAGACAAGTTCAAATTTGTATCATCGTTTCGACGATACATCAGAACCTTTGGCAGAGGTACCAGTTTATTTATTTTATTTTATTCATATCACGAAAACATACACATTTCTATACTCTCTGATATGTATATCAATTACAAGTGTACATAATAACATAACATAATATATGTACATAACATTCACAGATTGAGTCATGCAATTTAGGGTTAATTTGGAGTACTAAATATTAAAAAAAAACAGGTTTAATTTTTAAAAGGAAGGTCAGTTAAGGAAGCAAGATCCTCGATACCTTACAAAGCTTACGTCTACAAAACGAAAGTGGTGAAAAAGCATTTCAGACATTTTTTCCTCTTAAAAAGTTATTGAGCAGTCTGAGCAACAGCAGTGTGCTTTGAAACAAAGCGGTATAACAGAGTCCTTTCGAAAGATTAATTAATTCACATTGTGAATATGTACACGAATGTACCACTAAACTTTTGTCATTGTTAAAGAATAGCATAAATGGAATAAATAATAATTGATCAACACTTAATACTTCGAAGTTTTATTTACTTTCTCTCAAAAATTTCGAACCATTTGATATTTCAAACACTCAACAGTTTGTAATATTTTAAGAGTAACTCAAATTTCGAATTACCGAGAGTCGGCTGTATAGTAAAATTGTATATGCTTGTACATTTTTATTTTTGTGACGAAAATTGTTGAGGGAGACTAAAAATAAGTAATATAATAATAATATTCTTCACATCAAATTTCGGTCACGGCCTCCAGTCTCAACAGAGGAGAGAACAGGATTATAGTACACGAGCGTAATGTGCAAGCACAGGAGGTCTCTGTTCTCTCATTCTCATAGTACGATGGGACGGTTATTTCGACACGCCTGGAAAGAGATCATACGCAGGACTGACTTTACGTGCTTACCGAATCACGGGGGTGAAATACTTTATGACTCCGGGTTGCTACTAACACTGTCTTGATAGAAAAACCCTATAACTGATTTTGACCCGACTCGGGATTCGAACCCTGGATATGGATTTTGATCCACAACCGTATTTGCGACTACTACACCAACGAGAAAAGCACAATTTTAATCTCTTAAACAAAATATAAAATAAATGCTTTTTTGCCTTGACAAAACTTCACAGAGTATTGTAGCAAAAAAGGAACATTGATCTGTAAATATAAAAATTAAGTAGTAATTATTTGTTGGCAACATTTTAAAATTCTATGGCGACAATCTCTTCGCTGTGCGACTGTTTGACCACAGGCTGTTGTGATTGACATTGGCAGCGGTGACGTATACAATAAAGAATAATGTCCGTTATTGACCTGAAAATTTTCTAACGCATCTAGTGATGTAAAATATCTTATAAAATTGCATATTGTTATCTTATTTCGTATCGCATAATTGAATTTTCAAATAAAGCCAGGAAAAAAAGTAATGTTACTTTGTTTATCATTCTCAATAGACTTTTGGAGATGGAACGTGCTTTACAATGGTTCAAAGGCCCAGAAGCCATGCCAAAATATATTAAAAACGTGTTTTCCACGTTCCGTTTCAGACTACGAAAAACTTGTTCATTCATCATGTGGTTTATGAATGTTCAAAATAACTAATTTATTTTTTAAAACTTATTTATTTATGGTAATAATTTATGATTAGATACGATTTTTAATGGTTTTATACTATGGTGTGGAAAGAAAAATAAGTATACAGACCTTATCTATCAGCTGTTATAACCAGAAAATTTTATTTACTTAAAAGCATTTTTCCCTGGCCCCTAAATGAAAAGATGATAAGTTATTATGTTATTATAAACATTTAACAGGTCGCGTCTACCTACAAGTACTGTTGTATAAAGACAATTAGTCATTATACAACAGTAGTTGTAGGTAGACGCGACCTGTTAAAGGAATCAAGTGACAGGTCAACCAATGTATGGAAAGTGGGCATGATTCTTTATATATATGTTTATTTTATTTTATTTAATGTACTTGTAACACTTTAACTTTGCAAAGTTTTCCCTTCACATATTAAAATATATATGTCTACCTAATAATAACTAAAAAACTACCAACCTGCCTGCCAAACGTGGCAACTATGGCAAGTATCTCCTTTGTGAAAGCCATCTTTGGGCACTTATGTTCAGCAGTGGATGTTAAAAGGATTTTAAAAGATTGTTTTATAAAATAAAGGTGACAAACGAGCACACAGTTCACCTGATGGTAAGTGGGATGCTGTGGCCCATAGACAACATCTATTCTCGATTAAGAATCGGAATGCAGATGCGTTGTCACCCCTAAGGACTTAGATGGAATGCCTCGTTCCAGTACAAAGGTGTCTGGTTCTCTACACTCACCATAAGGAACACAGCAGCGTTGAGCTGCCATTTTACGTTGGTACGAGTATTCTGTGAGAGGGTTGGCCTTCCCCAATCTAGCCGACCCATTCATGCTACAACCATAGAATAGCTGTAGAATGGCTCTACCACGTAAAGATCACTATATTTTCCACTAAAACCTAAAATATAGATTTTTTGGAATAATATATTAGATTAATCGTGCTCAGTCAAAAGAAAATATTCTTTAGATTCATTTCACTAAAATGTAGGCTCCAAATGTCCAAAAAATTGTAACATTTAAATCTTTAATTCATAACTTATCCTTTATTTTTATGTACGTACACAAAAATAGAAGTAATTTTGCAAAAATAAGTGATATTCATTCTGTAAATACTAGGAGCATACACAAGCTGGTAGTACCAGTTCCTCGACTCCACCGAGTCAGTAATTCATTCTTGGGGCGATGTATACGCTTTTACAACAAAATCCCAGAAAATATACAAAACTTGACATACACAAAGTTCAAAAACTTTATTAAACTAAGTTTGTATAAAAGGCTTATTATAATATTAAGGAATTTATGGATGATAATAACCCCTGGGAAGCGCTACCAAGCTCTTTCCAATTTGTTTTGTGTTGTTAATTGTAATAAACACGATTGTAAGCTCTTATTTAAAAAAAAAATTGTCCCGCCGTTGCTGGTTCTTCCCAGGACAGAGGCTTTTGCAAACCACGAGATAAAAAAAATGGCAATGAAAAAAGTGACTTTCAATAAATATTATTTATAATCCATATTGAAGAAAAAAGTTTCTGTTTCTATGCTGTAATTGTGTTTGAAAATTATCATATTATATAAATCATTTGCCATGCAATATTTTTTTATTTAATTATTTTGTATTCGCACGTAACATGTCACTGGCGAATTCATCGTAACCGCCATAAAGAAAGAAGAAGAAAAAGGAACTAGTTTTATTTTTAATTCAGTTTCAATCAAAATTCATCAGTTTTTTTTAATTGTTCTTTCTAGACAAATCCCACAGAACATCAGATTCAGCATGATAGAGAGGTGGGCTTCACACCCACTGCTGGCCAAAGTGTTTGCTGAAAGGATAAAGGAAAAGCTGGAGCGGTTTGATCGAAGTATACGTGATGATGTGCTCATTATGTTTACAGCTCACAGCCTCCCTTTGAAGGTGAGACATTCTTTTTAAGTTATTCCACCAAAAAATTAAAAGTTGCTAGACATTCAGTATTATTAAAAATATTTCATAGGACAGTTTGGTAACAATATAGCTATAATCTTTTTCCTTTGTAAATTAAAAATTGTCGATTTAAACTGTGTATCATAAAAGTTTAATATTACTTTCGAATAACGGTGCTGGTTACATAATTACTCATGTTATTTATAAACTGTTGTTTAGTTTAAGTCTTATTATGTAAATGTTTCTTGCCCTAAATAAAAAAAATAAGATGTCGCCACAAAGATAATTTCAAAACATTAGACCATCTATTAAGTATATGCTTATAACATAACCATCAGAGCCGTGATAGCTCAGATGGTTAATACTTGCTGTAAATATAACATAACGCGAGTAACCCGGGTTCGACCCCCCCGGCACCAATGAAATTTAAAAATTGCAGTTTTAAGTGCTGATTTACCACGTGCTCGGCGGTGAAGGAAAACGTCTTGAGGAAACCTGCATGTCTGAGGAATAAGAAAAAAAATGTTTCGAAGACATGTGAAGTTCGCGAACACGCATTGGTGCAGCGCGGCGGACACTTCCTTGCCCTAAAACTCTCTCAGAAATCAGGGGAGGCCTATGCCCAGCAGTGGGACGTATATAGGCTGTAACTTTACTTTTATAACATGAAACATAAAATAAGATCTAAAATAAATATGAAAAATATAATATAATAATAACATATACGAACTAGACTGGGACTTCGGGATCCTACTCTATACGAGGAAGACGACCCTACTCTATACGAGGCTAGTATTGGTTTACTTAAATTACAACTAACAATTTCATATGCGCATCTTCCTGATAAATCAAAATAATAAAAACTGTGCTTTCCAACCTGACTGTGGCAAATCCCCCCCCCCCTTCGTTAAGGCAATCTATGGTGATATGGTAATATAATTGTGTATTAATATAAGACATCTTTTATTAGTTTGTCGGAAAGTACAACATGATTAAGCCAATTGTGTGTGAAATAATAGGATAGCGTTAATTATTAAAAATAGTAAAGGTGTGAGAACTGATATTCAACTTGCTCTCTTGCTTGCGCAATTTGTCATTATCAATAATAGGACAGCGTAACGCACTATACATTCAGCATAGAATAATTACAGTTTGACCATATCGCAGCATGTCCCCATCACAATTACACACCAGAGCAATGTGAAGGACACAACTACATGATAACACAAAGTTATGCAAACCAACAGCAACCTTACCCATCTCAACGTAACACAGCACAGCCTCTCAGCAACACCATCCTCCTTGTCTGCACCAGAAGAATCACCACAATGGCCAGAACAAAGACTATCTTAGCCCGCGTAGAATGACTTCACTCGTGAAACGACTCAAGCGGAATCTCTCGCGCTCTGCCCCTACACTGAACTTTATACTGCACAAACGAGTGGGAGGGTTTCTCGATATACCCTCAATTCCAACTAGTCATTAGATCCAACCGGCATTGTATAGATGCGCCTACAAATTTATTATTTTATTTTTCAGGCGGTGTCAAGAGGTGACACCTACCCTCACGAAGTTGCAGCCACTGTGGCAGCGACAATGAATGAACTGAAAGTGCCCAACCCTCACCGTCTGGTGTGGCAGTCGAAAGTTGGACCTCTACCTTGGCTGCAACCGTACACCGACGAAGCTATTAAGGTGTTTATCAATTTATTATTTTAATTTAGGAAATTTTATTAACTATTATCCATTTCTTACGACTAAAACAAAATTTTATTGGTTACCATTTTACTATTTTACAATATTTTGACTTTTAATCGAAGTTAGATGTAGGTGTCTATGGGCCATAGTTCCACTTAGACTCAGGTAGACTATGTTCTACATTCAAGATACCATCCTCACCATCTGGATGCTTGGTGGTCTACCACTGTGCGTTTTACAAGTAGTTTTCTTCCTTGTACAACTTCTCTGTGGAATTGTTTACCACCCGCGATTTTTTCGGACTGATATGACTTAGGGACCTTCAAGAAAGAGCTTACTCCTTTCTAAAAGGCTGGCAACGCATCTGCAATTTCCCTGGTTTGCCCTTCTTCTATAAAAAGAAATAACAGACTTTAGAAGCTATGAATGAAGTGAGATTGTACACCCTCACCGTCAAGTGTGGCGTTCGAAAGCTGAACCTCTGCGTTGGCTGCAATAGAATAAATCAATATTATTTTAATTTAGGAAAATTCAACTGTTCTCCATTTCTTACGACTATAACGAAATTTTATTGGTTAATGTCTTACAATGTTTTGACTTTGGAAAATATTTTAGTTTTGAAGTTAATTTGTACTTTGTGTGAAAAGGATAATTAATTTGAAATGATTTTTTTAGTAAGTTTTAGTAAGTACCAAATATAATAATAATTGAAGCTGGTTTGAATATAGTTAAAAGTTGTATTATTTCCAGGCATACGCGAAGCAAGGAAGAAAACACCTCATCTTAGTTCCGATAGCTTTTGTTAATGAACACATAGAAACATTGCACGAATTGGACATTGAATATTGTGAGGAACTCGCCCATGAGGTAATATACCATATTATATTTAGACGTGGCAATAGGATTAATTTTCTGCCTTGTAAGTCCATCTAGGTAGCATACATAGGCTATACCCAGATGGACTTACAACTTAATCCGCAACATAACTATGCAGAATACCTATGTTGCGGATTAAAGGGTATACAGAAGCAGTATACAGTGTATGTGGTACAGCCACGCTGGAGCTATAATTATTATAGTTGTAGCACAAATGGGTCGGCTCGACCGTGGAAGGACCATGCTCTCACAATACCAGCGTAAAATAGCAGTTTAATGCTGATTGTGAGTGTAGAGAACTGGAGACCCTTTTTATTGGAATACGAGGCACTTCATCTGGTCCTCAAAAGTGACAATGCATCTTTTTTTTTATAGAATAGGGTGGCAAACGAGCACACAGTCCACCTGATGGTAAGTGGTTGCTGTGACCCATAGACATCAACATCTATCCTCCATTACAAATCAAAATGCAGATATGCGTTGTCACCCGTGAGGACTAAGATGGAATGCCTCATTTCCAGTAAAAAGGGTCTCCGGTTCTCTACACTCACCATACGAAATACAGCAGCATTAAGCTACTATTTCACGCTGGTATTCTGTGAGAGCGTGGTCCTTCCCCGGTCGAGCCGACCCATTCGTGCTACAACTTTACTACTAATATAACTGCAGCATGGCTCTACCACGTAAAAATCTGCATTTTAATTCTTAATCAGGGATAAATGTAGATGTATATCGACCAAAGCATCCACTTACCATCCGGTGGATTGTGTGCTTTTTATCACCTGTTTGTTGTATTAAATTACAGGAAATGACTTTTCATTCCAGGCTGGCATAGTTCAGATAGAACGGGCTGCAGCACCAAACGACCATCCCATTTTCATAGCTGCGTTAGCCGATGTGGTGGCCAGCCATCTTACTGTCGGACCGGCAGTTTCACAGCAGTTCTTATCTAGGTGGGTAAAATTTAATAATAAAAACACACACACACTCACACGCACACGATCGCACGCACGCACACGGATGCACACGCACGCACAGGCACGCACAGGGCACATACACGCACACACACAACAAACACACACACACACGCACACACTTGATAGCCTAATGAGAATAGCGGATTATCGGACTTCTACTGTATGTAACTTTTTTTTAAGGAGTAACTTATAAAATATATTTGTCACCTCTTCCAGGTGTCCGCACTGCGTGAGCGAAAGGTGCAAAACGTCGAAGGAGTTCTTCAGAAAACTCTGCCACAACAAAGACACTCACTTGAAGCCCGAGAAGGCGGCGATAAGGGCATGAAATTATATTTAAGAACTACCTAGCACAAAGTACTCACTATGCAACTAGTTAGGTTAGATCGTGGTAGAGCCATCCTGCAACTTAAATATTATAGTACGATTGGGTCAATTTTCAACTCATTTTGTTTGGCTATGTACTTCAGTGTCTAAGCGATGGTATTCTGTGAGAGCATGAGTCCCGTTAGAGCCGATCCATTCGTGCTGCAACTATAATATAGCTACAGCATGGCTCTACCACATACAAAATCACTTTGAAACCCTAATACTTGATGAACAACATGTAACAAAAACCCTGTGATTCCCTTTGGGTGCGTTATCAGAATCAGTATTCAAACGTTTACAAATTACTTCTACATAATATTATATTATTTAACACTTCAGAAAACTCAACCTTAAAAATATAAAATTGAGATAAATATTTATTTGCCAATTCTATGTGGATTTATTACGTCTGCATTGGCCGAGGAGTTGCGAGTAACTGTGACATAGTTTTGGCGGGAACTTGACCGTCGACGGATTGTTGTTGTTGATTTTGATACGTAAAAGTGATGCGATTTTGTGTATTAAGTGTCTACGCATGAACTATAAGAGAAAACGATGAAACAAGTGCTTCGATGTTGATGTAAACTTCAAGTTATTTTGATCGCTTAGGCGCCTCATGAACTTGAGTGACTATCATCATCGACTGTCCGATAGGTTGAGCTGTCGTTCAAATCTCCCAAAAACTTCGCAATATGACGCATCGGCATATTGTTGAGAAAAAAATCTATAAAAACGAAGATTCCGAATGAAATGTAGACATAGCTTAAAGGATAAGCATCCAAGCCAAAAATCCTAATAAAAAATTGGGTATTTTCAAAGACTCCGCTTTACCGCTTTACCCATGGAGGTTAGAAAAAAGGAGAACGATCGCTGTAGAAAATATTGTCCCAGAAATATAGACAAAATAAGTGTGGCGCTGCGATCGCTAATTTGTCTCAATAAAGTCATTTTCAATCTATTTTTCCGATCAGATGCTAAACCAATTGCACATCCACGCACAATACAATATTTTACCATTTATTTCTATGTTTATTTTTGGCAAAAATTAAAAAAATTACGGAGCACGATTATTTTCTCACCAATGCCGCGGAGAAAATTTGTACATTATTCAACTAACTTCATCCACTTGAATCATAAACAGCTAACTTCGCAGTCACTACTCACCGACGGCAGTTCAGCATAGAGTATACTGAAATAGAGAGGAATCTCAAGCATAAAAATTAATTCTCGAGTGTGCTGCCGTCTGGTGGTATCAGATGGAAAAACATTTTTATCATATAGCTATACTATACACCTAGTATATATAGCTACTATAGTTTTTTATATACTAGTTTCTTTATATTTTTTTAGTTTTACTTATTGTAAGAAATTTATTTTATGTGTACAATTTCTTACAATAAATATTATAGATTCTGATGTAAAAATAAAAACTCATTTCAGAAAGTTAACTCATTGCATTTATTCAATAAAACGTCTTTTTTACAATTGTGGAAATATTTTTTGGCTTTCATTTAAAATATATCGTCATTATCATCACAGTCTCTTTTCCCACTGAGTAATTTACGTATATTTTTGACATAATCGAATATGAAAAAGCGGCAAGACAAATTTAATAAATAATGAATTATTTTATTTTTGTGTAAATCACATTGCAGAAATTCAAAATCAATATAAATTAATATCAAGGTTTTTATTAATTCTTTAATATTGTCTATAAAAATAACTATTTTAATACTGAATTTGCACTTCAGATACACACACTATAAGAGACTCAGTGGGACTGCAAAGCCGCCGTTTACCCGCATATTCCCGAAATTTAATTATTTCATTTCCTTGTAAGGCGATTATGTTAGCAGTACATTCGCTACAGTTTTTAAAAACATATTGTTTAGCACATCTGGCAAAGTAGCCACTAACATAATATAATGCCCCCTTTATATATGAAGCAGTTTTCTGTTCAGTATTTATTACTTTTACATCTGGGATTGGAAGTCTTACAAGTGTCTTTTTCACAATTAACACCTGAGACATGGACACTGGACATATTGTTAATTAAAAGTGTAGTGTAGGCACTCTGAAACTGTTCTGGCGTTGGATTAACATTGCGGCACCCATGGCTTCTAATGGCCCCAAAAAGTTTTCAATAGAATCTTGTTTGAGGTGCCGCATCCAAACAGAAGTAATACCATATAGTTTCCATTTTGTTTAAAGAATTTGTATACCATTCAGTGTCCACACCCAATTTTTGATTGTTGGTACACTTTCAGCATTATTTGACGTTTTATTTGTAAATTTCATATTATTTAACGTAGCTTTAGCTTCATTCCACATCCTATGTAGAGTGGTCCTGGTGAGGGCTGCATATCGTTTTTTTTTTCCTTACTATAATTTCCATTGACGGAATCAAACACTTTTTCAAAGAAGATGAAAACTTCAGCAGTTTCCTCACATTCTTTGGGAAGAATGCCTATTTCTGAAAAACAAAAGGAATTAATCCATATTAGTAAACACTAGTATTAACAGAGCATAGCAAGGTTTTGTGGCTTTTTTCTTTTCGTCCAGCAGTGAACTTAGTAGGCCAATTAAACAAACAGTTGGAAGCCCTCCCTGGGAGACCAAATGGTGAGGGTAAGGGGGAAATAATGGTAACTAATACAGAACGAGTAAGACAATGAAATTGTTATTGCAATTTTAGTTATACCGGCGGTGGGAAAACATCGAGACCTGCATTAGATAGAAAAACTAAGTTCGTCAAAGATGGGAGGGGACTTTGCCCTAAACCCTCTAGAAATGAGGGGAGGCCTGTGCAGAGTGGGACGTATTAGGGTAAATTTAGGGGGAAAGGGAAAGAAACCAGCAGATAATGTGGGTGGTATCAAGGAGAAACAGCTTCTGCAGATTGCTTGGAGCAGATTGTCACAGTGTCTCGATCGCTTAGAAGACCCGAGAGGCTGAGCTGGATAAACATGTTTGCAGAAACAACTATAGGAATAAAGCGGTTGGCATACCACCCCACATATCGATCATTATGTGAGCCAGATCCAGATATTCAAAGATTTAAATAGATGCGCCCTCACCTTGTAAACTGTGGCATTATTTTAGGATGTGTTCGTTTGCAAGACGCCGACGTGCGCACACTAATGCAATAGTGTCATCTCTTATTATCTTACAGAAATTGTGTATACTACCTTCTCTGTCGCACAAACGAGCACTGATTGCGAATGAGTGAGCTCACTCATTTGAGAATGGACACATTTCAGAGTGGTCATACTATGGTAAGGGCGCATCTAACTATTTAAATCTTTGCAGATATTTTGTTTGCTTAACTGTTTCAACTTAATTATTTGTACTGCTGGACTTGAAACTGTCAAGCTTGACAGGTGGGTTGACAATCGTAGTACATGATTAAAACTATTGGATTTTATCGCGTTTATTTTGTTTTAATTACTTTTTTTTTGTCTTTTTGTTTTATATATTATTAAGTTCAGGGACAGGCGGGCCGTGCTTTAGCACGTACGTAGCCATCGTTCTCCTTCTATTTAACCTCCATGGCTTTACATTGACAGTTAGTTCAGTGATGTGATAAACATTTTTTAACAAGATTGAATTTAGTAAGTTATCTGTTGTAAACACTAAAATCCTTTTAATTTAACAACCAAAAAATATTTTCACTGTCGTAAATGCCTATATGTACAATGTATATTTATACGTCCGTAAAAGGATCACCGGGTGGTTTGTTATATGCATTCACCGCTGAGGGCTAAGATGGAATGCTTCGTTATTATTGTGACAGCTTCTCATCATTCGGTATATAGCAACAAAATCCGTATAAATCTTGATATGTATATATAAATTACGTGTCACGTTGTTTGTCCGCGATTAACTCCTAAACTACTTAACCGATTTTAATAAAATTTGCACACCGTGTGCAGTTTGGTCCAACTTGAGAGATAGGATAGTTTTGTTGCCCATGAGTGACCCACAATTTTTTTGCGAATTTAAGGATTTTTAATAGGACATGACAAATTGTCGTCGAAAAGGGCAGAACAACGTCTGCCTGGCAAGCTAGTATATTATAATTTACATATAAATAAAAATTGAATTGTCCGTCTCTAATATCGAAATCTTCAATTAAGTTCACGTAGTTATATGCGTGTTATTAAGAGCGTAGTCGGTGTGCCCGGGAATTGAGAAATAGGTATTAGAAAAGACTATTGCCGTCGCGCTGCACTCGAGAAATCGATGTATCAATGGGTGCGTTTGGCAGAAAAAAGCGCTAGCAAGCGCTTACAAGCGCTAAAATAGTTTTCGGCCAGGACACGATTGCTACTTCAATAGCGCTGACACAATCCGCCATTTTGCTTATTTAATTTGTTTGTTTTGAAGTAGAAATTATATGTTGTTTTGTGCAATATTATTTTTAAGTAATATAATGACATGAATAAACATATTATACATGTTATTAAAAATTCATGATTGGTAAGTTTTCAATATGAATACTTTACAAACATATATTTAAATTAGGTTAGGTTCCCCGGCTAAAACTAACATCGTGTCCTGGAGGAAAATAGCTACTTACGATTTGACAGCGCTTACCGCTTACGATCGCCATTTTGCTTACAAGCGCTTGCTAGCGCTTTTTTCTGCCAAACGCAGCCAATATATGTGGTGTATAGTCCGTATTTGTGTGCGTAGCTCAGTACTAACTTCGACAGTTGTCACTTCCCTCATTGTGTACGTATTAGTCTAACCCTACCTCACCTCTGGTCTCCCGCCGTAGAGTGCGATAGGGAAGCACCCCAGAACGATTTTACCTACAAAAATCATGACCGATCGACGTTTCGTATTCCCTTCTTTTCTCCTCGAAAATTAAGCCTTAAAAATTTACAGGAAGAATAAATATATGCTCCTATCAATTGTTTTTATGTTAAAAACTTTCAAATTTCTTTGGTAGTCGTCTTATTACGGAGGTAAAAACTGGGTATTTGTTTCAGGTTTTTCGAAAGTCGTGTTTATTTTTGTAATAATTTTTGGAAAAAATAAATGACAGATTCGTGTCTTCAATAGATCTAGATTTTACTATACGAAAACGATTACTCTAGACGCATTATCCAGAAAGAGAATAGGGGAATACATTTATATGGAAAAAATACAGCCCGTCTACGCTCTTAAATCAAAAGAGTTATGAAAAGGTTTCAGACAAAACATTTTTAGTTTGTATTTTACATCAAAAAGGTATCACACTTTAATTTGTTTTTTTTTTCTTCAACATCATTTTAGTGTAAAAGAATTTAGATGATAAGACCTTTATACGTGAAATGTATAGAACTTCAATTTTTATTTCTATATATATAAAAATCAATTACTGTCCGTTAGTCTTGCTAAAACACAAAAACGGCTCGACCGATTTTTATGAATTTTTTGTTTCTGTTTGAATTGGTCTCTAGAGATTGTTAAGATTCACTTTTGGACCCGGTAGGTGGCGCTGTTGTCGAGATCTAGAAATCACCCGTGCGAAGTATTAGCTTTAAATATTTTCCATATAGCGTATAGTTTTCAAGATAATAGCAAAGAAGTATGTTAAATATGTCTTTTCGGCAATTAAACTGCCCAAAAACTACGTAGATCTGCAAGGTGTTTTCTTGTGTAAGTTCTTTGCGGACGAACTTGATTATGCCTGTGAAAATTTTTATATGAAAAAATAATATAAATATAAACCCAATTATGATTTCGTCACATAATCAGCCAAAGTAGCTCTCATGTTGAATTACAAGTCTTTCTAAAACTAGCATTTAGTCGGTATTTATTTCTTGTATAATTATAGATTTATAGTATTTATTTTAAGTGGCAAGGGACTCAGCATTTTACTCTAAACATGAAAAAGACAGTGTTTTTGTATATTACATTACAGTACAGTACATTATAGTACATTATATGGTGTTTCTTTTTTTTTAAATAAATTTTGTTACAAATCAAAGTGTTTTATTTACTGAACCATTTTTAACGTTTTATTTTTTCATTTTGGAATATAATACATTTTTTTAATAACAATTTATTTGGCTGTATGGTTTGGAATTTGAAGACTACCATGGGGAGTACCAGAGAAATCTTATGACTTTCTATGTGGTAGAGCCACGCTGCCGCTATATTATAGTTGTTCCACGAATAGCTTGACCAGAGAACGATCACGCTCTCACAGAATACCATCAAGAAACAGCGGAATGATGCTGTGTTTTTTAAGATACCTACGATTATCTTAGGACGATATTTGACTTTTATATATATATATATATATATATATATATATATATATATATATATATATATATATATTAAATAATGTATTCGTGACGTTGAGTGCACGAAAAAGTTGCACTTCTATTCATTTATAAGGCGTCTAAAAGGTTAACGATTTCAGTTTGCTGATAGGAATCGAACTCAGTTCAAACACGTTGGTACCTACTACGAATTTGAAAGCTTCGCTGGTCCGCACAGAACATACTGACACAGAACACTGTACCTCTAAGCCACCACAGATTTAAAGACACGAAAAATGTTTAATACCGTTTAAGGCGCTATAATACCTCAGCTCAAATTCTAATTTCGCCCCCACTTCCCCGCGCGTCGTTTGCTATGTACTGACATCTTTGTAAATAGACAGGTCGTTAGATACTTATTTCATTAGGTTTATCATATTTATGCTTGTTTCTTCACGCCAGCCCAGTCGCTTCTTATTTTTATTACGGTTATTTCCCATTTTAATTTTACGTCATTTTGTTGCGTAATGTGTATTGTGATTGTAAGCGACACAGCCTTCCCGCTCAAAAGCCGAAGCAAGACTGATCGGGTGATCGGGCGGCAGGAAACAAGCTTCAAGACGCCGATAGTTTAGGTAATTTCTTTTTACAGTGAAAATATTGGTAATTAAAAAAAATAAAAACAAGCCCTGCTTTATAGTTAGTTCAGTTAGTATGCAAAGTTTCATGATCTAATTTAAAGTATTTAATGAATAACAGCGGTTTATTGTTTATTTTGGAGGTAACTTTTGATTTTTTTTCTATCGAGAAAATTTCATGTAATCGTGTTTTCGTCTAACATAGTACCTAACATTAATCCACAACTTTACCATATATTTATTTCAAAATTAATGCTACAATATTTTCGGCATAACCGAGGATCTTGCAAAGCCATTTGAGGTAGTATAGGCCCTTAAGAAGTTTATGGACTACCCCATATCATCAGGTGCTAATAAATACTAAGCTATTTAGCTAATAAGCTTATTCTTAACAAACACAAAAAAAAAGCGCGGTTGCCAACCCGTCTGCGTAGCGTGGCAACTACGTTTAACGTGGCAGAGCTATGCTGCAGCTATATTATAGTTGTAGCACGAATGTCAGCTCGACCGGGGTAGAACCACGCTCTCACAGAATATCGGTGTAAAATAGCAGATCAATGCTGCTGTGTTTCGTATGG